GCATATGGCACAGAGACACTGGCATCATGTTTTGTGTCATGCATCACGACATGTGGATACATGCGCCGTAGCGCACACACCAAATTCTGTTATCAACTAGTAGTTTTCTGGTGTGAACTTTGAACATGCGTTGCTTTCACATTCAATGTCTGATTGGAGTGATTCAAGTACCTACACGAAGCTTGTTACACAATCTAACCAATGACACTAATTTCATTCAAATCCGATACTCCGTTTAAAAGTTGAACATTCAACTGTATTTTGATCATTTTAATTCAAAATTCACCATTTGAGCATCACCATTTGAAATCATAAGTCATTGGCTACTTCTAAAGCCTTGACCACATCAAAATAGACAATATACACCTGATTGAACAATTACATGTACAATATTACACACATACACACAATTGGTCATTTAACTGTCCATTTCACATAAATTTGGGTATATTCACATTATCTCACTTCAATCCATGAAATCTAGCCAACTTTACACCTAACAAACATATTTCATCTCTACATACTCATATACCCATCCACTAGCCCACACGATCATTTTCACTATATACACACTAGGTTAAGGAACCAAAACCACCAAATACACAAACATTTACAACAGTATGCACACGTACCCAAATCCTAAGGCAACTCTCTCTCTCACACACACACACAAACACAACTCATATTTTTAAGTCATTACACCAATTCTTACAAAGGAATTTGCAGAGAAGTTTCTATTTTTGACCCAATTCTTTCCCTTTTACACCCCTACTATCAGAACCTGAAAAATGTTAATAACCATAGGTGAGATTAAATCTCAGTAATCAATATAGTTCATTTAATGATAATTAACACTAATAACCATATCAAGGTAATAAAAACCAAATTAGTGGTTTACATATCAAAAGTAAATATAGAATTTCCTCTTTTCAAAGTGTTTCCATACAATCACAATAATAGCATGATCACCTATCCACTAAACCTGTAAAGCTTCTCAACACGAAACTATAGGCTCTCATGGATCAATCATATATTAACCTGAGCACACCTTCAGTAGTAGAAACACCTGGCTAAAGGTATTCTATCCAACCTCTAGACTACAATTTCCTTCATCTCACACACTTGTGATTGAGGTGTCCTATGGTGCCAACCTGACCATATGAATTTATTCACTCACATTTCCCCACACACACACACACACACACCCCACCATGCCTTGGGTGAACTCTCACCCTCTAGGATCATGCTTTTCACACACATTTACTGCTTTTCCACATCTACACACTTTACACACATAAATACCTATATAGATATATATTCCTTTCGTTCAAAAGCAATAGTTATTCAATAAACTTATCACATTCACTTTTCATGCCAAAACTATTTACAAAACTATGCACAGGAAATTATCAACATTAAACTATAATCATACACTTATTTTTACACAGTTATAACAGTTAAAGAACATAACAAATTATATGGTTACCTCAACTCTTTGTTTGATAAAAAGGATTACCCATGTTCCATAACCTCACTCAACTTTCTTTCATTATTTAACTTGTCGCGCCTAAAAATCTACATAATTAAGGCAACTAAAGTCAATTACTTTATTTATTAACAATGCCAATTATTGCAATTAAGTACTTAATCATTATTATTTCCCATATTCATGTTCATTTCTACCTTTTACACTCAATCACCTTTCAATTCAAGTGTTAACACACTTACTATCAAATTTCTTTTAGTTTTCTCTTTCTAAATTAGGTTAACTTGAGCTTACAGCTTTAAAACTTTATCATTCAGACTTAAACTAATCATAAAATCCTAGTTTAATCCCAGAAAACCTTTCTATTACTATAGGGTAAGGAATCAACTACTTAAAACTTTTGAATTCAATTTCTTATTAGTTTAAACTAAGAGAAAATAAAATAGAACTGAAGGTTAAGGTAGTACAAGGCTTATCTGATAAGTAACAGGTCAAAAACATCATCTTTGCCCCTAAAGCTCGTTGCCCTAGTAGAGTACCCTTTCCTCTCCACCTTCATGCTTTCTTCTCTATCTCTTCCTTTTTTTTCACAAACTGAGCCACAAATTTAGACCCAAAATTCTGTGCCATGCACTGCGGCACATCCAGCTCTAGTTGCAACGTGTGGCACAGTGAGGAAACTCCTTACCGTACTCATACACTCTGCTTCATAATGCTATTTTTCCACTCATATCTATTCATCTAACATCCCAAAGAGTCAAAATAACACTCCACCATCCAAAACCCTTATCTTACATTAAATTACTAATTTATTCCTTAATTAGTATTAATGCAAGAATAAAAAATTCCAGATATTACATCTTGCAGTAATATGTGCATGCTCTTGAAATCCTTTAGAACATCTCCCTCCTAACTCTCATATGGTGATCAAATTCTTGTCTATGTCTATGGCTTCAATCACATCCTTAGCCACATAGTTTTTCCCTTTTGCATCATAAATTTGTTCTTGTATCAATATCATGTTCAAACATATCATTTCTACTTACACAGTTTAAAGAGTCATTTTCACAAAAATCAAACTGAAAATTTCTTTCTATGTGTGTGTGTGTGTGTAGAAATGTTGAGGACTTTCAAAGGACATAATGCCACATAATGACAAGACTGACCTTACCCCAGCTTCCTTCAACAATAGCATTTAGAACATTGCTAGGAGAAATATTGGGGATGTGGTTTGGCCTACTGCTTAACATTTCATGAAACTTGTCTATAGTAGCATCAATGTGAACATCAACTTTCACCATCCCAATAACTGTTCTTCATGTCCTTGTCCCTGTTCCCGTGTGAGGCTGATAACCTATTGAAATTAATGTCAATTCAGTGTATTTTCCTACACTTTATGTACTAAATTAGATCAATTGTGAATATTTTGGGTTAAATATAGGAAAATAAGTGTTATTCCAAAGTGATATAGAAAATAGAGTTTATTGAGAATTTTGCAAAGATTTTGACTTTGATTTTAAACTTTAAAAGATCTTATAGCTGTATTAACCATTTCAGGTGGTTTATTTTAGATATTTTCAAACATATAGAGCCAAACAATGGTTGAAGATGCATATGAAAGCATAATAGCAGAAAAATAAGAGCCAAAATAAAAGATTAGAGACTCTGTGTCATGTGTCACAGTGCATGCACAGTGTGCTGGGCATGTGGCACAGAGATGAAAGTCCTGAAGATGCATATGCATCGTGGCATACTGACAACATGCCGCGGTGCATGGCCTTAATTATGTTACGTGTTTTGAGCTTTAGAACGAAAAAATTAGGGTAAAAAATCCATAAATGCGCCTTCAGACCTGAGACCACGACTTGGAGAGATTCTTTAAAGTTTGCTCTGCTAGGGTTTGGGGTTCTTGAAAGAGATTTGGCCAAGGATTGAAGATTTGAAGAGATTAAAGTGAATTTTCTTCGATTTTTCTTCCTCTCTTCCCTTTTCTCTCTTTGTTTCTGATATGGATGCTATATATTGTAACATTTATGGCTCTTTTCTGAACATGAGTAGCTAGTATTCTTATTCTAGGATTATTTCAAACCTTTGTATGGATTAATACTTGAATATTCCTCTCTTTTAGTAGTTAATGATATATATGTATTTATTTTATCCTATGCTTAATGCTTTTAAGTGCTTGATCACCATTTATATTGTTTTGTTTACTTGAGTTGTGCTTGAGAGAGCTAATTTAGGTGTAGAACTTGGATAAAATAGTATTGGACTTGAAATTTTACAAAGATAAATAGATGGTTTTGTTGGTAAAATAGAGATATTTATTAACCCTTTATAGTCACATTAAGATTAGTGCTTAAAATTTGTTCTCACTAATTATTTTCAAGAGATTGTAAAATTTTAGTGTTTTCAAATATACTTGATTTTGACTTGAGAAAGCTTTTTCAAGTGAATTAGAATCTTAGACTAACACTTATTTTCATTAAAAATATATTAGAGAGGAATTAATTTAAGTTTTATGAAATACAAAGAGGAGAAATAATCCTAGTTCCTCACCTCTAAAAGTCAAATTTTCAATAAGTTTTAATTGCTTTAAAACCATTTTAATCAGATTTTCATTACTTTCACACAAAAAATACTCTTAATTTTTCTCAACCTATCTCTAAGCTCGATAGTGAATTTTAACCCTCACTTGCCTAAAATCCTTGTGGGAACAATAACTTTAAAATATTCTACACTTGTGATGACTATACGCTTGCAGTAATGCTTGACGGTGAATAAGTTCTTGGTGTCGTTGCCGGGGACAAGTGGCAATTGTTTTGTGTTGGTTAATTTTTGCTATTGTGTTAGTAGGTTACACTTGAGTTTTTTGTTTAACATTTTCATACGTATAGGTAGTTTAGTTAGTTTTTACAGATTTTATAGTTTTAAATTTTATTGATATGTTTAATACTTGTTCCTTGGTTTCACCTTGTAAGTACCTTCTTGACGCATGCAAGGACTCTTTCCTGGTGAACTTGAAGTTGTTCTTAAAGGAGTGGTTGAAGAAGAAGGTGAAACAAGTGAGGAAGCCGCTCTTGAATTTGGAGAAGACATTCCTCCTCTTGGCAACAATATGGAGGGAGCTGATCAAGATGAGAACAACATCTTTACTCTAGATGACTTTCTTGACCAAAAGCATAATCTTATCATTCTAGCATCCGGTTACCGAAAATTTAAGCTAGAAACTTTGAGGTTAAACAAGTCATGATCCAAATGATACTAATGTATGGACAGTTTAAGGGGTAATGCTGATGAAGACCCTAATGATCATCTCACAAGATTCATAGAGGTGTGTGAGAATTTCAAGCAAAACGGTGTCTCTAAGGATGTAATGAGATTGCGGTTATTCCCAATATCTTTAAAAAAACAAAGCAAGAGCTTGGTTGAATCTCTTACTAAACATTCAATTGAAACATGGGATGACTTAGTAGTTAAGTTTAAGGCAAGGTTCATTTCGAGGGGTAGAAGAGTAACATTGAGAGGTGAGCTTCTCAATTTGAACAACAATCGGGGCAACTTTTCTATGAAGCTTGGGAGCGATTTAAGGATTTGGTAAGAAGCTATCCTAATCATGAACAAAAGAAAGTATGTCCTTATGGAAGCATTTTGGAATGGGTTAGATAATGCAACAATGACCATGTTGAACAATGCTTTTAATGTGGTATTGGCAGATGAAGGTTAATGAGTTGTACAACTTATATGAAGACATTACTTCTAGTACCATAAGAGAAGACATGCTAAAGGAGGTTCGCAAGAATCTAGCTCCTCTAAGGAGCTTACTTCTCAATTAGAAGCGATAAATCAGAGATTTACTAGTCTTGAGATTCAAATGAAAAGAAGGACTTCTTCTGGGGTAAATGCATTACAAGCTTCATCTCAAGCTTGTAAACATTGTGGTGAAGGACGTGTGTCAGATCATTGCCCCTGCACTCTTAAAATAATAAGCTACATAAATAATGCACGAAGACCTCCTCAACACAATCCGTACTCACAGACCTATAACCCAGGGTGGAGAAATCACCCAAACTTCTCATGGAGTCAAGGCAAAGTTTAAATCCAACCTTATCCTCTGGGCCTAGACCGATTAAGGCTCCTGGTTTGACGCACCAAAAAAAACCAAGAGAAGGTGATTCTAAGATGGAGCAACTGTTGGCTCAAATTTTGAAGAATCAATAGGTGGATCGAGCTAAGAATAAAGCTACCCTAGCTTTGCATGATACATCCATTAAGGGCCTTGAAGTGTAAATGGGCTAAGTTGCTGCACAACTAAATGCCTTAAAGGGGAGGCTTACCAAGTGACACCATCCCTAATCCAAAGACGGAAGGTAAAGAAGAATATAATACTATACATTTGAGAAGTGGCAAGACTCTACCTAATATGATAGTCCCAAGAGTGACTAGTCACAGTGGGCTAATTTTGATGATAATGAGGAGGTAGATAAAGAAATATTATGTAAAGATGATGACAACAATAAATGAAAAAGGGATGAAGAAGAAAAAGGGGGAAGAAGGATTTTTAGCTCCTCTTGATGAGGAAGAAAGAGAACATGTAGAGGTTGAATTGAAGAAGGAAGAAAAGAAGAGAAAATTAATTGCCTCTCCTACTACAAACACCCTCACTTCCATTCCCTCAAGATTCAAGGCTAAGGAGGAAGATGCTCAGTTCAAGAAGTTTCTAATAATATTTAAGCAGCTTCCTATTAACATTCCTTTTGCTAAACCTATTTAACAAATGCCCAAATATGCTAAGTTCTTGAAAGATGTCTTATCTAAGAAGAGGCATTTTAGTGAATTTGAAACTGTAGCATTAACCAAAGATTGCAGTGCCATCATACAAAGAAGGCTTCCACCTAAGCTAAAAGATCCTGGTAGTTTTTACATCCCATGCAATATTAGGAAATGTTTTGATGGGAAGGCCTTGTTCGACTTGGGCGCAAGTATAAATCTGATGCCTTAACTATTTTCAATACTTGGGCTTAGGAGAGGTAAGCCCGACAATAGTGATACTCTTTGTCATTGACCGAAGCATTTCCTGTCCTAGAGGGATTATTGAAGATGTGTTAGTGCAAGTAGATTGGTTTATCTTTCCAGCGAACTTCATTGTCCTAGATTGTGATGTGGATTGGGAAATTTCTATCATTTTGGGGAGACTGTCCCTAACTACTACCGCCCGGATTATCATTGATGTTGAAAAGGGTGAGATTACACTAATATTAAATGAAAAACAAGTGGTGTTTAACATGAGCAACGCAATAAAGTTTCCTATGAATCTCCTCAATGCTATTACATGGGAATCTTGATGAGGTGATACATGAAGACTTCATGGTCGCTTGGTTGAAGACCCTTTGGAAGCTCTAATTTTAGGACAGAAGAACATTATAGAAATGGAGGAAGAAGAGTATATGGGGATATTTGGTGTGGATTCTTTTCCACCAAGTGGTTTAGCCTAATGGAACCTCTTGATGTATCGACTGCTTTGGTATCCCCACTCAAGCCTTCCCTTAAGGAGCCTCCAACACTTGAATTGAAGCCATTATTCCTCCACATCTCAAGTATGTGTATCTTGGGGAAGAGAATTTGTTGCTGGTAATTGTGTCATCTATCCTAACTAATTTGCAAGAGGAAAATTGTTGAGAGTTCTAAGAGAGCACAAAAGGACTATTAGATGGACCATAGTTGACATTAAGGGTATAAGCCCATCTTTATATATGCATAAGATTTTCTTAGATGATGAGCACAAGACTTTGATAGAGCATCAAAGAAGATTGAATCCATGATGAAAGAAGTGGTAAATAAGGAAATCTTGAAGTGGCTTTCTGCTGGGTCGTATATCCCATTTTTGATAGTTCTTGGGTGAGCCCAGTCCAATATATTCCTAAAAAGGGTGGTATGACTGTAGTGGCTAACACCCATAATGAATTGATCCTTACGTGCACTATAATCAAGTGGAGGGTATGTATGGATTATTAAAAATTTAATACAAGCACTCGAAAGGACCACTTCCTCTACCTTTCATTGATTAAATGTTGGATAAGTTAGCTGGTCACAAATTCTACTATTTCTTGGATGGATATTCTGACTATAATCAAATTGTCATTGCTGCTCCAAGGATCAAGAGAAGACCACTTTCACCCTGCCTATACGGGACCTTTGCATTTAAGTGCATGCCCTTTAGCTTGTGCAACGCTCTAGTGATATTTCAATGTTGTATGATGTCCATTTTTCTGACATGATTGAGAGGACCATTGAGGTATTCATGGATTTTTTTGTCTTCGATTCTTCATTTGATGTGGTTTAGACAACTTGAAAGCGGTCTTGTAAAGATATAAGGAGACCAATTTAATATTGAATTGGGAAAAATGCCACTTCTTGGTGCAAGAAGGCATTGTTCTCGACCACTGGGTGTTAAGAAGGGTCTTGAAGTAGATTAAGCCAAGATATCAGTGATTGAGCAACTACCTCTAATATCAAATGTCAAGGAATTAAAGTTTTCTTGGACATGCGAGATTCTATCGCCGGTCATTAAGGATTTCTCAAAAATAGCCAAGCCATTGTGCAATTTACTAGAGAAGGAAGTTGAGTTCAAGTTTGATGAGAAATGCCTAGAAGCCTTTAAAGAGCTAAAAAAAGGCTTATCTCTGTGCCGATTCTTATAGCTCTGGATTGAGTTTACCTTTTATTATCATGTGTAATGCAGTGACTATATGGTTAGTGCAGTGCTTGGGCAAAAGAAAATAAGGTATTGCTCCCATCTACTATGCTAGTCGGATGTTTGATGGTGCTTAACTCAATTATATACCACTACAGAGAAGGAGTTGCTTACAATGGTTTTTCATTGAGAAATTTTGAGCATACATTATGGGTACTAAGGTAAATATATACATAGATCATTCAGCTTTAAGGTATCTTTTTAGCAAGAAGGACTCAAAGGTTCATCTAATTCGATAGGTGTTATTGCTACAAGAGTTTGATTTAGAGATTATTGATCGGAAGGGAACTAAAAATCAAGTGGCAGATCATTTATTGTGGTTGAGTACTAATGCTCAACAAGAAGCTAACGGAGGAATCAATGAAGAATTTCCTGATGAGTAACTTTTTACGGTGAATACACTGAGGCACCTTGGTATGCTGATTTTGTAAATTACTTGGTGTGCCATGCTGTTCCTCATAATCTCAAACCTCATCAAAAGAAGAAGTTTCCTATTTGAAGTAAGGCATCATGTGTGGGAGCCCTCATCTATTTCGGCAATGTTGTGATCAGTTGATAAAGCGATGTTGTGTTGGGTGTGAGGAACATGACCAACTTCATAGCTGCCACTCTTTGGGTATGGGGACATTTTGGGGAGAGAAGATTGCATACAAGATTTTTCAAAGCTGTTTTTATTGGCCAACCTTATTTAAGGATGCCTATACTTTTGTGCTCCAATGTGACCGCTGTCAAAGAATTGGTAACATTTCTAGAGGAATGAGGTGCCTCTCAACAACATGATAGAGGTAGAACTCTTTGATGTGTAGGGAATAGACTTCATGAGACCATTTCCTAAATCATTTAGCAATGAATATATCTTGGTAGCTATTGATTATGTCTCTAAATGGGTGGAAGCTGCTGCTTGCATGAAAAATGATGCCCAAACTGTGTTAAAATTCTTAAAGAAATACATTTTCATAAGATTTGGAGCCCTGAGAGCTATTGTTGTGATGGAGGAACATTTTTACAACAATCAATTTCAAGTTCTATTGAAGAAATATATGGTAAAACACAAGGTAGCATTAGCTTATCACCCACAAATCTAACAGCCAAGCTGAAATTTTAAACAGAGAGATCAAGTCTATTCTAGAGAAGACTGTGGGAGAGACTAAAAGGAATTGGTCACTGAAGCTAGATGATGCCTTGTAGGCCTATCGCACGGTATATAAAACTCCCATTGGCATGTCCCCTAGCGATTGGTATTCAGGAAAGCTTATCATTTGCTAGTAGAATTGGAGCATAAGGCCTATTGGGCTGTGAAGAAGCTAAATTTTGACCCCAAAGCTAGTGGTGAAAAAGGCTTCTATAATTAAATGACCTTGAAGAATTTTGAATGCAATCCTATGAGAGTTCAAAGCTCTATAAGGAGAAACGAAGAGGCTACATGACAAGAAGATCATCCCAAGGAAATTTAAAGTCGGACAATAAGTCTTACTCTTTAATTCAAAGTTGAGGTTATTTCTTAAAAAGTTGAACTCTAGATGGTCGGG